TTAATGAATAGTCTGACTTTTTAAATGTTTGCTGTTCAAAAACTTGTTTTTATTTAAAATCGACAAAAAGATGGTTAACCGATATGGCACTTGTATACTAATATATTATATCAGCACATCATTGTGAAACTAATATCTCTTACATACGATTCTTTGAGTAATATTGAAAAGCGTGACAATCCTCAAGTCGAACATTGATGCACGACTTACGACCAAATATTGTTATGTACCACGACGGCGGCAGACAGCAAATAATTTATGGTAGAAGGGTTCATTGAAATATGTCCTTCGGGCATTTTGGCGGGAGGAAAGAGTCGCCCAGTCGTCACTTCAGCCTTATCGGTACATAATAGTTCAATAAGGGTCTTTTGGTCGCAACGAAAAAAGTCCCTCATGCATGTAAATTGCGGAATAAAAGAATTTGGCGTACGAATTGGTACATCAAAAGACTCCACTCCGGGACATGACCATTAAATACTATAGTGATGTATCATAAAAAAATAAACGAAGCATTCACTTGATCTTTTTGTACGGCGGAATGACTTTTTCCCCGTGTGGATGATTTTAAGTGGATGTGCACCGAAAGTGATCCCTTGCTGTCCCTTCCCACAAAATAGCCTAAAGCCACTTTACTTGTTTAATATGCCAAGCGACGATCGCCGACGGTGTGCTTTTCGCGTAGGGGTGCATTTATAATGTCATCGTCGTCTAGATGAAATTAAATCCTAATACTAGGGCAAAGAGGTGGATTATGGATTATTAAAATCGACGGCATGCACCCACGAAGAAAAATAGACGGGAAAGGGGGGGGGGAGAGAGGATAACCGGGCGCAACTCTCTTGGTAGAAGTGTCTTGTGGTGGAGAGCGGCAGAAGTTTAATATAGTTATGCATCTTGAGAATAAAAGAGGTACGTCGTCTACGGGGAACAAAGCGCAATATCCCCAAGACCTTTGCACATCTGCTGTCGGAGAGATGACTTTTTTTCGTGCTATATCTTATATATATTTTATGTATTGCCACAACCTGGATCGTTATTAAAAGAGCGGACCGTCGCGTCGAACGGGTTTTGTATATATTTATTTTTATACAAATAATTATTATTTCTTAGCAAGCCGTCAGCTCACGGACGTTGTGTTGGGTTTCCAGATGAACCACCTGAGTCCGACCGTAGACGGTACCACCATCGTTTTTTTTTTATTCTAAGTAGCTAATATTATTATTTTATAACATGAAAGCAAACAGAAGTAACGAAAAACGCGGCTTTGGTTATTAGATGGGCATTTTCGTGGGTGTCTGTGTATGTTTTATTATATGTTTGTCGCGATGAATGTTGCGACATCATATAAATAATGACGTTAAGTGTGTTTGAATAATCTAAAATAGATGACTCGAAAAGTTCTCGGAAGTTTTTTCATTATAAAATGTAAAGTGATATATATATTCACACACTCACAGGCGGTGTGAAGCTTATTTCTTGACAGCGCGGCCATAATATAATTTATGTATGATAACTGAATCAGCCGCGTTCACTCTTTACTTTTCTTTTGTTGGATCCAAAAAATATGTAATATAATATTATACATGAGATCGAATCGAGGATTATGCAGTATTCACTTACCTAGCTTTGTTTTTTTTTTTCATAATATTTTCTTTATATCGCCGTCCACTTTTGAGAGGTTTTTCATGTTTCAACATTTATGTGTGTAAACACCGTGACGGAGGACAAATTTCCACCATTTTTGTACGCATCATAAGTAAATTTCTGGTTTAATGTTCTTTAAAATAGTGTATACAATATTCATATATAAGAGATACATATTATATTATGTTTTTTTACTTAGAAAAAAAAACCTTGAAACGTTATTTTAAAATAACATGAAATATATTTTTAATTGGTTTTCACTCCTTGAAATGCATTATGGATGAACTTTTGTAAAATCATCTAGTTTATAACGAAACTATTTCAACCTCGAACAGGAGATTAAAAACTGTCGCAGGAGGAGAAAAAGAAAAATGTTAAAACTAACAAAATCCTCAAACTAAAAAAAAAAGCTAGCACAAAGTTTTTTTAGAGAAGAGCAAAATTGAATTTAAAAAAAAAACGCGAGGTCACTTTCCAGGGTTTCTACCAAAAGGCTATTATCCAAAACTAGTTATCGACCAATCAAAATGTTCAGAAAATATTCTTAATTTTAAAAATTTACTAACCGCCATTTATGATTTTATTCCATGTTAAACTTAAAATGCGTACTAGATCAATTTGTATCAAATATTGCCTAATTTTGCCTCTTAATATATGCATTTTTCCGTTTTCCATAGCTCAACAATCAGTTGGGATTGCATAAACGATACGCATTTGAACCACCACTCATAGTGAAAACTCAATACATGCTAACCTCGCATAGTGGTCTAGAATATATAATAAGCGCAAAAAAACTAATAAAAAAAAAGTTGTTTTAATATAGAATTCTGACGATAAACTGGTTGTCTTTAACATATTGATTACAAATATAACCTTTTGTATACCTATATCGAAACAAATCCCGATAAGAAATGCATTTTCGTGAGCAAATGTACATTTTTGTATAAACGTGGAAAATAAATTATTAATTATTAGATAGGTACTATATAAATTCGAATATTAGATATTTATAAGAGGTTAATTTTAAAATTGATATCAAATTTGAGTTCAGCGTTTCCAAAATTATATTTATCAATATGCGACATAAAAAATTGCACATAAATAAAAAACAATATTTTACAATACCCTAACCATTTTTTTACCCTTCCTAACTCTTTATGTTAATTAAAAAATTGATACCATTTTCGAAATCAACAATTCTAAAAACATGTAAATCAATATGCAAAATATTTTTTTTTTCAAAATTTAAAAAACACCCTCTAACCTCCTAAATAGGAGGTTAATTTTAAAACTAGAATTTAGTGACCTGTAAAACGTATAATTTGACCTACCACGTGGTTTCCTAACCTAAAATATAAACGATAATAACTACGACGCGCTAAACATTGCCCCGGTCCGTCGACTATTATTAATTTTATGACGCGACGGTTCGATTTTGAGTGGAAGGTAACGACGGTGTTGACAAAACGCTGTCGAGTTGTCTATTTCTTTTAGTCCAAACTTTGTACAGACGCCGAGGCCGTAACTGAAGGGTTCCGAGGGTGTGCGGATTATCAACAACAATAATGCAAATATAATAAACCGTAATTAACGACCCGGTTCAGTCCAGCTGATAAACAGTTGTGTGTCCCCGGGGTGCCTCAGTGTCGTGTCTTAATTAAATTTTATTAACCCAAGAGAGACGAAGGTACTAATGTAAACGGGTCGAAGCACGGTTCAAGTTTCACGGTTGTGCGTTAAAATAATATTTTATATGTATTTATATGTATATATGTTGGGTTATCGTCAAGGGGCACTGTAAAACATGAACAAATTTAAAAAAACCTTTTCGATTTTTGGTTGTAAAATAAATATAACAATAATAATTCAAACGTGTTTTTGCAGTCGGTACTCAAAATGTTTTAAGACCAACTATTAAACTCGAAATTGTATTTATACCGTATTATATTTTATTAAATGCCTTCAGTGGTTTATCACAGTAATTTGCTACATACCCCTCGATTTAGTTTCATTATACAATGCATCATGTCGTCATGATGTGACATTGAATAAAGTTATTATGCAATGTGTCATGCAAAAGTCATCGCTTGTATTATTGTCTTAAACGATGTTTAAACATTATTTTTGTTAACGCCCAACCAATGTTTGTTAATATTTTCAAAATGCAAAACTCAGTTGGAACTATAGAAAACTAAAGAATGTTTATATTAATAATTTTTTAATACTTTCTCAACTTTCAAACTTTCTTGAGTCTTAAGTTGTTATTGATCAATTAATCAATTATTGGTAAAGTAGTTTTTAGTACCATTTTTTACAGTGAGCCCTTATTGACGAAAACAATTAGACGAATCTGTTGGGTATAATTTCTTAATCTTACTAATATATTTTACAATAACTATTGTTAAAATTCTTAAAAACGACCAACTATTCTTAGGGCAACAATACGCGTGTATTTTATATTAATTAGTATATTTTACACAAAACAAAATAATATTTTACTATAATGCTTTATTGGTATACACATTTTACAACTTCCCTTTAAAATAATAGTTTAGACATATTTATGATCAATAACGTCTTTTAAAAAAACGTTAAAAGGAAAAATTAAAAACATTTAATTTAAACATCTGACCGTAATATACGGGTTTGAAATTACACAGACAAATATATTTAATTACTAGTTTTAATCGTTAAATGTAATGAATTACAAATTACGTAATTGAATTATAAGTATACTTACGAGTTACAACTTTTGTTTAATCTTAACGCAAAAAGAAAATTTGAAAATTCCGATTCATACATTTTTTTTGTTTAAAAAAAAACCCTTCATAGTGAAACATTTTAGGTTTTCCTTAATTTGGTTATTTAAATGCGTTTTCTTGAACGCTATTTTCAAAATATGTTAACCGCTCACCGCTAACCTTGCAGTCGGTCAGTCGGTGTACGTTCATTAACAGCTCTCGAGTTCTCTCCATAATTATACGTAACACGCTGACGTCGAGTAAAGTTCACTGTTTGGTTAACTCTCCCTCCACCACACTCCTTGTATGGGTTAGGGTCAGCCGACGCGACGCCTCCGTCAGTCTACTGTCTTCCTTCCCCTCTCTTTGTAACAAGATTACATTGTTCGGTAAATATTTGCACCAAAGTCACATGTACCGAATAATGTCACTATAGTATGTCCCGGGGCATGCGTGATATTATATTGTTTGCGGTCGGCTTGGCACTTGTTGCTCGCGCGTGTAAGAATTTCGGGCTGTGCGCTCCAGGGAAATAATATAATACCGCATGTACGTGTAAACAAAAAAGTAAATAAAATGTTTTAACGATGTCTTCTATTTGGTTTCTTTTTACAGAAAAAGAGTTGCCACCGGGATTTCCGGTAATCACCGAGGGTCCGGGCACTCACAAATCCATCGAAGTCGCCCACAACGCAGTGCTGCAGTGTTCGGCCTCGGGTAATCCACCACCGACCATCTACTGGCTTAAGGAAAACATGCGGCTCGACCTGGAGACCAACCCGAGATACTCGATACTGGACAAAGGCTACCCAGGTACGTCTTTCTTTTTACTAACAACTCCTCTCTAGTTTTACTGCTGACGGGTATAGTTTTTTTTTTTGTTCCCGCCTAATGCGACGCATCTTTTCCTCGTGTAACTTCTGGCTTAAGCAAATGATCCAGGCGGTCGTAAAATTGCCTTTGGGGCATCAGTTTTATTGGCTCGACCAGAAGGCGTGCGACGCTCTTTACGGTTTAGACCCGCATAAGCCGCTCTCAATTTGTTCCACCTTCCGCCATTATGTACAAATTATATAGTATGATATGTCCTTTTTACCCTATACTTGGACTTTGTTTTACCGATTGCATTATGTAGTCCTTGAACATTTAAAACTAGTTTGTTTTACTACTATTAATAAACTATTTTACGATTACATGTCAAGGTGTTACTGTTCAACGCCTAGTTGACAACCATTTTTAGTTCTTTATAATCGGGTAGATACGAGTATTTAGAATGCTCGTTGTCTCCACTTAAGCTGAAGTTTAACAATGATGGGGTTTTATTTTTTTTAAATATTTTTGTGTCTGGATCTACGATAATTTCATAACTACCGGATAGATTTCTCCGTGATCTAGCATTAGATGTAGTTATTGGACTTGAGGCCTGAAAATTAGACTGTAAGTAAAAGTCAAATACACGTTTATAGTTTCACATTGAAGTGTTTATTTAAAAGTGATTTTATCACTTTTAATTATAGTATTTTACTTTTTATTTTGATCATAACTCTTGATCATTTATCTATTTACACGGATGTACAAAAAATTGTATTTGATACTGCACTGTATGTGTATTGTGTATGTACAATTTGTATAAATCAAATCATACACATTTGTATTGATTAAACAAAAAAATAAATCAAATCTTGATTGACAAATTGAAGTGTCTGTAGCAATATCTTATAATATGATGAAATTTAGTTTTCGAATTTATAATCGTTTTAATAATATATCTACTAACTTGATAATAAATACTAACTTTTATTTTTTTATGGGATGACCAAACCCCTCATTATGTCTCTGATATTTGCTATTGTAGCAACTTACTGTTTTTGGTACTTAGGGTGGCTTACAATCCTATTTCGTTTTGTGTATATATATATTTTTTTTTACAGTGTATATCCACGAGTCTGTTACTAACCGTCAATTATATTATATTTAATGTTCTTTTATAAACTTTATTTAAAAGTGTTTTTTACATTCCCCCCCTCCTTTTTTTAAAATTAAAAACTAGTACAACACATGTTCTTTGTGCTGGAGACCATTTACCATTTGCAGTTGTGACGCACACAACCAACAGAAATCATTTTCAGCGGTTTTTGTGTTTTATGTGTCTTGTTTTGATTTACTCTAGCATCACTCGCTCGGTGCGAATTTATTTTAATCAGAATTACAACCACGTGTAATACGTGTAAAACGTTAACCGGATGCGAACGTTAATAGCATGCGAATATTTTAAATGTTATCAAACGAGTTTGGCGTACTTTTAGGAATTCGAGAATGTTCAGGTGGTTTTATTAACGATTAATGTCTTATTATCTCGACGAAATTCCAGCCAACATGGTAGCGAGTACCTTAACTCGATTATTTTCTGCTGTAAATCATGAGAAAGTTATAACATTATTAATTATTATTCTAAAACGATTACGAAGTTCGTTCGGACTCTCAGGTAAAACATGCTAGAAGGTGTATAGACCATATAAAGTTAAATAATGAACGCCGATAAATATCATTACACTTAATTCGTATCGAAACTAGCTGCAAATCTTATTACGTGCCCTAACCATAATATATCTTTGTGGAGAAGTTAACAAATGTAAGATCGGATCCAACTGACTTCCGAACTATTTTGGGAGACTACGTTTAAACCGACCGTAATGTTATATTATGTAACTTTTAACCTCAGTTTAAAAAGTATATTATGATGTATTTCATAATGTATGTAATACAAATATTCATTCACACGGTTTCGAATATTTTTTATTTATCTGTCTGCTGTAACGTTTAGTTAGAATTTAAAACAGGCCTTTTACTGATTAAACCTTCTACCTACCTGTTTTTTTGCAAATAAAAGTTTTTTAGATTTGCCTAAATTGTCGGTCTAGTTTTATTTTTTAGTTTCACCTTAAGTTTAATCCCTAGCATACTTTCTTCACCTCCTGGCCTCATTTCGATTCGTAGCTACCCTATTTCGGCGTATTAAAAAGAAGAATTGGTGTCATAATAGTTTAACAGCAGCAACATAAGTCAGTTTTTTTTATATATTATGACTGAAGATAAATGTCATTTACTTTTTAAATTGTCTGAATATTTGCATAAAAAAATGCGGAAGTAAAAAGTTCTTCATACGGCTTAAATCCTATTCTTACACCTAACAATTAGTAAACAATATTAAAATATCTTACTCGAGCATATTATATAAAAAAAGAGTTCATTGAGTATATTAACAGCTAACTAGCTCTTGCCAAATTGGTCATTAGTTATAGTTAGACTGACCGGGGTTAAACACAAAGGAAACAAAACTTTTAATTAGCCGCATCATGGAAAACTCCAATTTATAATCCCTGAACTAACATTACAGAGTTGTCATTTTACGATATTACACTCACAACTAAAGTAATTATTTAATGGTTTTCATTCATTAAGAAATGGTGAGGTGTAGCCTTAATCAAGTATTTATGTTTTAAATTTAAATTTACGTTACAACACTTAGAATAAAGATGTATACAGTATTGACTATATTTATAATCAATTAAGTAAAACAATATAAGAATCCTATAAATAAAATAAAGGTCAAAAACTGTTTAAAAATATTTAAACAATTATAATTTTAAAATGATTAATTTTTATATAAAATAGGAACACGCCAATAATAAATTAATATATTTTTAATTTTAAAAAAACGTTTCATGATTGGTCCAAACGGAAACAACATTCTTTAATTTTTATACCTGTCCATAGAGTTCATACAGCATTATAAATAGCTGCCATAAAATCTAGTGCAAATATAAAGATCCGCCGTGAAGCTCTTGATTTAAATATGTAAATTCTTGTTTTTAATTTATTTATTAGGCAGCAAAAAATGTGCCAGAGAAACGTAATGTTTTTTTATATGTATTTATGGCATACTAACTATTTATAAAACATATTTGGTGCAGTTCTGAAAAGTATGATAGATCTGTAAGCGTTTTACATATTATTTACACAAGATTAATATCTGAGATGTACTTGTAAAGAATTGCTTTACGCTTAGCATCTTTATTTAATTTTGTTTTTATTCGACTGTGTAGGCTCATACGCATTGTGGTTATGCGAAGTGGCATCAGCAACTATATTTTGTTCAGCATCTAGCTATACAACTTTTGCATATTTTCCCTGTGCTTTTCTGAAAATTTGGACGTATCTTACCAGTTGTAGCTTTACTACCCGTCGAATCTACCTGTTTTTTGGGCTCAACATGTTTGTTTTCAACCAAAATTTAATTTTATTACATAACGAATCTTTATGGTTGGAAAATTCCATATAGTTAATCGGTATATGTTTTAAATTGATTCCTTAACGTATAAAATAGTTGTTTTACCGTGACTTGTATGTTGTGTGCATTGCAGGCTGATATAAGGCCGATTGCCATACACATGACTTTTGGCCTTGCGACAATAGCAATTAATTCTAGTTACAGAACAAAATGGTTGGCGGTCGTAAGTTTTTCCAAATCCTTTAAACCTTTAATGGACAATGAGAAGTCACATAATAATAATATATAGTAGCCACATGGACATCAATAAACGACGTCGCTGTCGCGTTTTCACTAAACACGAGTTTAAATACTAAATATATGCTGCACCAATCTGATAGGCAGCCATTTTTTATCCACGTGCAGTGTTGCCAGCAAAATACGGCGTAGCACGATCTGTGATCTTTATGCGTTGTTCAGGGTAGTCGATCAATAGGCGACGGACTGCGATTGTTATTGTAGGTGTTCAGTAAAAACAACATATTATTATTTATTATTATTGACCGTCGTCGTTATTTTATATTTTCTATAATTTTTTGTTTCACCGGAATTGCATTACCAGAATGTTTATAACGTGCACCATGCGCGAGCGATGCAAAATTACAGGCACGCAAACCCTTTTTCGAGTTGCCGCCGCACGCGGGAGAAAAGTTTTTATAATGAAAAAGCGTTAATGATTCTATTCTCGGGAGTCGCGTGCGAAGGGGCAATTTTTTTAGTATTCCGTTGGAAATAATATAATAAAAAAAAATAAAAACGTAAGAATAACAAAACCATGCTGCCGGCGACGGACACTAATAACTTTGTCTAGGTATATAGTAGGAAGACCGTCGTCTGGGAATAGTATAAGTTAATTAACCAGTTTCTTTCAAACCGGTCGAACACGATAACACCAACGAGCGGGGTCGACTATTGGAATATTTTTTTTCTTTCTCCATACGAGTATCCCGTAATAATAATATGCATTTTATATATTTCCACGACAACTCAACTGCGATACAACTTTTAGGGATATGCTCGTAAAGGTATAATAGACGGTTCAAGAGCTAAGCAAAGAAAAAAAAAATAACGGCCAAACAGGGTTTTACCAGTATGAAAACTTTGACATTTCAACACTTTCAACGGAACGTATGTATATATTTATTTTCGCGAATATATATAGACTTTAACGTATAACTTTTGGTCGGGTAAACACAATATTATGGAGAAATAAAAGTTTGGGGCTTACTGGGTTACGTTGGCTCTTTGAAATGGTGTGTAGCCAACAGAAAAGGAGAAAACATATAATGAATAACAACCTGAGTCTGACGATGACTTCTCTGACGTGAACTTCCTTTTTTATCCAGTATTTTCCTTCTATTATTGACCAGCAATATCAAATACTACGCTTGAGAATTATTTATATGATATATATGTATATTGTTGTTCATAATCGTAAAAAAAAAAAAAATCCTTGACAGCTGTCAATAGCTTAAATACATTC